AGATATTAACTCTGCAGGGTGCCCAAACTTTTGCAGACGCCATTTTTTTGTTTTCTGTTATTTTGAAAGTGTAAATGATGGAAATAAAATCTAACTTTTGTTGACATATTTATAAGAATGTCTAATATGTAATTTGATGCCTTTTGGAGATTTTTCCATCTTTCCTTGGCTTCTTTATGCACATTAATACAAATTTTTAGCTGGGGTGCCCAAACTTTCCATCCCCACTGTATATTGTACATTCACATCAGTCCCCAACCTGTATTCACCATCTTCAGATGCTGCATGTTGCAGCGATTGGCGTCTTGTATTAGGACCAGTTTGCCCAGCTCCCAGGGGGGTGCATTGTTCCCGTACATACCCGCGCTCGGACATTACGGCTGTGCACATGTGCTTTACACTGTTATTGGCGTGTCGTTGCGTACAACCACCTTCACCAGTTCTCGTCTATGGGTGGCTGCACGCAGCTCCAAGACACCCAAAAGTCAGTGTATCTGCTGCTGCACGGGTAGATGTGCCCCTGTGCATGTAGGCTTGTTGTGTACATAACATGCAAGAAAGAGCTTGCAAGTTAAAATGCGTTGCAGCGTTTTATGTGATTCTGTGCTCTGCGGTGCTTTGAAACGCGAAGAGCCAAAAAAATGCAACGTACCCTTTTTTTTTTTTTTTTTTGGTGTTAACACCTTGTCTTGTGCTTTTGTTGAGTGACGCTGCTGGTGTGAATGCACTCTTACCTGTCTGATGATGTCACGTTGTAGCACTGATCATCCTTTTCATAGTCTTCTGTCCACCTGCATTGTGTTCTTCAATGTTGTTGTCCTCCCCGCTTCATAGTGATCGCCAGCATCATCCCCCCTCCCCAATGGTGCCATAGTGGTCATTCCACCTTGATGGTCATCCTCCCGCTCCATGTTGGTTGCTGTCGTTCACCTCCCCTCTTCATGGTGGTCTTCATCTTTGTTGTCCTCCCCGCTTCATAGTGATCACCAGCATCATCCCCCCTCCCCAATGGTGCCATAGTGGTCATTCCCCCTTGATGGTCATCCTCCCGCTCCATGTTGGTTGCTGTCGTTCACCTCCCCTCTTCATGGTGGTCTTCATCTTTGTTGTCCTCCCTGCTCCATAGTGATAGCCAGGATCATCCCCCTCCCCTTTCCCCAATGGTGCCATAGTGGTCATTCCCCCATGATGGTCATCCTCCCGCGCCATGTCGGTTGCAGTCGTTCACCTCCCCTCTTCATGGTGGTTGCTGCCACTGCCATCCTTCCTCCTTCATTATGGTCACCACTGCCATAGTTGTCCTCCCCTCCTCCATGATGGTCACTGCCACCACCATCGTCCTTCCACTCCATGATGGTCAACCGCATCATTGGTCTCCAGCTTTCCAGGAGGCAGAAGTTGGCACTTCACTATGGGTGTAACCGAATAGGCAGGGGCAATTTCACATATCGGAGCTGGTGACCACCTTCTGGTGCCATGTGGCTGGTGAATCTTGACAGGTCACCTTGGGCAGTGCCAACTTCTATGTAAATCAGCAGAGGTGGTACCATAGACCTATTGCATGTTGTGGATTGGCATGTGGTGTCCCCAGGCGGTACTCTTACTGTCCTGACTGTATACAGAATACATGCAGTGTCCTCACCTGCAGAGCTGACACTCGGCTGTTCTCCAGCATATGACCTCTATCCTCAGGACATACAATACTCTGATAATGGGACATGATTGGGACAATACCTGGTCACCATTTGCCCCAGAGCAGATTCCCAAATGTCTGTCTGTGTGTGTGCTAGCCTCCTTATCCCCGTCCTGCTGGGGCCTGTTAGCTGGGTGTATGGAATGAAATGGATGGACTGGTGCTCTGGTGTCAGTGACGGTGTACAGGGAGGGGGGTGGATAGCTGGCACATCACTCCAGAGCCTATGGACAAAAATAGACCCAAGGAGGGGGTCAGGGATGGGGCTGCGTGTGGAGTGATAATAACCTGTCTTGAGATTGGGGGCTTTGTATTGGGAAGGGGGGCACCTGGTCCTGGGAGTGGAACAGGGGCTCTGTAATGTGGGAGGACACTTGTCCTTGGGTGGGGAATTCTCAGTAAATTGGTTTGTGTGTATGTGTGTGTGTATGTATATATGTATGTGTGTGTGTGTATATTATGTGTGTGTATATGTGTGTGTATATGTGTGTGTATATGTGTGTGTGTGTATATATGTGTGTGTGTGTGTGTGTATATATGTGTGTGTGTGTGTGTATATATGTGTGTGTGTGTGTATATGTGTGTGTGTGTGTATATATGTGTGTGTGTGTGTATATGTATATGTGTGTATGTATATGTGTGTGTGTGTGTGTGTGTGTGTGTATGTATATGTGTGTGTGTGTGTGTGTGTGTGTATGTATATATGTGTGTGTGTGTGTGTATGTATATATGTGTGTGTGTGTGTGTGTGTGTGTGTGTGTGTGTGTGTGTGTGTGTATATGTGTGTGTGTGTGTGTATATATGTGTGTGTGTATATATATGTGTGGTGTGTGTGTGTATATATGTGTGTGTATATATGTGTGTGTGTGTGTGTGTGTGTGTGTGTATATGTGTGTGTGTGTGTGTGTGTATATATGTGTGTGTGTATATGTGTGTGTGTGTGTGTATATATGTGTGTGTGTGTGTGTGTGTGTGTATGTATATATATATATATATATATATATATATATATATATATATTAATTAGTGTGCATTTATGTATTCATGATCATTATTATAACACTTTGTATTCACTATCATCATTATATATACATTGTATTCATTATTATACATACTTTGTGTTTGCTGTCATTCTATATACATCGATCGCACTGCACAGCTGCTGTATGCGGGAAGTCGGCTGTCTGTGCAGGCATTGTCTTCCATCATCCACACTCGGGCCCTTCTGGGTCCCCACCTCCCTGACGTGTGACCTGTGTAGTTTTTACATTTCTTCAGTTACTTCCTGGTTTCTTGCCTAGGCAAATGACGTCAAACATCCCAGGAGTCTTCAGGAGGGGAGGAGGGATTTTCTCAGCTAAGCACAACCCCCACCTGCATGTCTGAGCCAAGGGCAGATGGATAACAGGAAGTGCAACATTAATCTTCTGCCCTTACTCAAGATGGCCACAGCCAGAAATGGTAGGGGGGAGTTTTTCAAAGTGATTTCCCAGCAAAATAAAGCATGGAGACATGACTCGGTGGGGGAGTTTTGCTTTGGATATTACTCACTTTTTCTGTCTGCCTTATAGCAGATTTATTGCTACAGGACAGACATTCTGTGCAAAATTGTGTATATAAACATGATTTTGCACTTCCCCCTGTAGGGGGGTGTGTGTGTACCGCTTCCGCTGTAATGGGACACATCAGAAGCCGATCAATAGGTGCCAGCCAATGGATGAGCACCGACACATGTGGATCGCCAAAAAGAGTGACAGGACAGAGCTCTCCCTATATGTCCTGTAGCGATCTGCTAGATTTTCTTTCCTTGCAAAGCATGGAATAAAATCTAGCAGATTGCCTAGCAAAAATACCACACTGTACACAAAACACACAGCTAGGCACACAGTTAACCCTTTGATCGCCCTAAATGTTTAACCCCTTCACAGCCAGTGTCAGTGTATAATTTTAGCACTGATCACTGTATTATTGTCATTGGTGCCGCAATATCGCAGTCCCGCTATAAGTTGCTGAACGCGGCTATTACTAGTATAAAAAAACAACAAATTCCAGTGTATATATCATAGTTTGCGAAACCAATCAATATATACTTATTGGGATTTTTTTTTTACTAAAATATGTAGGAGAATACATTTTGGCCTAAATTTATGAAGAGATTAGATTTTTTTTTTTTTTTTTTAATAGGATATGTCTTATAGCAGAAAGTAACAAATATTGGGTTTTTTTTTTTGTTTGTTTTTTTTTGTTTTACCAAAAATGCAGCAGAATACATTTTGGCCTACATTTTATGAAGAAATGTTATTTTTTTTTTTTTACCAAAAATGTAGCTGAATACGTTTTGACCTAAATTTATGAAGACATTTTATTTTTATATATATATATATATATATAATATATATATATGTGTGTATATATATATATGTATATATGTGTGCGTTTTATAGCAGACAGTAAATCTTGTTTTTTATTTTTTTTTTTGTTTGTTTTCATTTTGATCTTTTTTCATTTATAGCGCAAAAAATAAAAAAACCCAGAGGTGATCAAATACCACCAAAAGAAAGCTCTATTTTTGGGGAACAAATGATGTACATTTCATTTTATGTACAGTGTTGCATGACCGTGCAATTGTCAATTAAACAGACGCAGTATATAAAAAAAAATGGCCTGGTCATGAAGGGGGTAAATCTTCCGGAACTGAAGTGGTGAATAACGAATTGAATAGCATTTATGCTTTGTGGTGCTCAGAAGCAGTGTAGTTCCGCTTTAGTTGTTTCCATGCTTCGATTCACTAACCCGGGACAAGTATACCGACAAGAACAGTCCCGATCTGTGCACCTATTCCAGGTCAGTGAATCAGAGGATTGAAGCTGGAGGATCGACATGATAGCCAGGGAATGGGCATTCGCAAAAAGATAAATAGGTGATGGTGGCCTCTGTTTGTTAAGAGGTCAGCCAAAAAGGGGTCTGTAAAAAAGGACGGTAATAAAGTGATATGAGGCGGCATCCAACCCCCCCCCCCCCCCCCCCCCCCCCCCCCACACACACACACACACACATGGGTACACACCCCACCTTTCCAGCAGCAGCCAATCAGAGGTTTAATTAGGGAATTGCAGATCTTGCTCTGCCCCGTTCTATCACGGCACCCATACAATGGGGCTGGTGCCACACAGAGACTGACCCCCCTCATCTTCTGTCCTGTCAGTACCCATATGATGTGAGGCAGTGGTCCGTGCCGCTCACGGTCCCCCCTTGTGATCTGTCATGTCTGACTGACCCTCTTGTGTTGTTTTTTTTTGCCCTGCAGGACGGAGAGAGACGCCACAGCCTGGTCTAATGATAAATTAAAGGAGCTGTTCATGGCCGTGTCTGTGACGGGCGAGGAGGGTACATGTGAGGTGACGGAGGTCAGTAAGATGGATGGCGAAGCCTCCATCAATAACCGCAAAGGGAAACTCATCTTCTTCTATGAGTGGGACGTCAAACTGAGCTGGCAAGGTGAGTGCGCTCCCATATCTGTGTGCGCCATAAGAGGACATTTATACTGCATGATTGGGGGGGTCGTATGACAGGTGGGGCTATTGTGGTATGTAGTCATAGGAAGGGTGAGGTTATGCTGTGGATAGAAGATGATGCGGGTGTTCTGCTTGTAGGACAATCACAGTCTGGAGTGAAATATAAAGGACATGTGGAAATGCCGAACCTGTCGGATGAGATGACCCCAGCGAGGTGGAGGTGAGGGAGCTGTATTATCGTCTGTTATCTCATACGGCTGGAAATATTCCCCAACAGAGGCCCCTCTTTGATCTCTCTTCTCCTCCAGCAGCAGTGTATGGGCATCCTCTGCACACCGCCGAATTGCTGTCCCTAAACACAGCGGGCCCTATGAACACATGGATGTCTCCACTCCCTGTGGTGGTCAGGCCTGTCCTGCCCACGTCCCAGAGCCTAGTGATAGTGAGACAGGTGCTCTTTATAAACAGACTTAAAACAACGTACAGTAAACCTGTTCTGGCCTATCGGGGCAATAGATGAATATTACCCCCCCCCCCCCCCCCATTGCCCACAGCAGGTAAGTATAACATGTTTGTTATTAAAATAAAAATATATTAATCACTTTAAATGAGCCTGTAGATAGCAATACCATATGAGGTGGTATCAAATCTTCAAGACGATGGCAGCACAAAGCTTCACGCACAGTCAGATGCACAGGGAGCACTGACATTCATAAGTCAGTGTGCCAAAAAAGACATAGTCCTGTGTACATCGGGAGCTGTGCAACTGGTGCATTACCATGTCTGCTATTTCAATGCGGACAGCAAAGCACAAACGTGAAATTCTTCATGAAACCCGTACACCCAATTTTCATCACCGGTGATGATCCTTGACCTGAAGGACTGGTCATCCACAGCACGCTGACGGAGGTCTTGGCAGACTTGGACGCGGTGTTCTTTCTGCTGCTGGATCTGCAGCCTGTGGACGAACTTGGCAGCAACACGGCACACGTTCAGATCGCATGTGAGGATTGCCTGGACTGTTCCGTGTGACACACAATAGCAGCAATGTTGTGGAATGTTCCCTGATGATCATCATGCACAAATTGCGGAATGGTTTCGACATTTTTGGGGGGCTTGAGATCATCTCTGTGGCAGAGTTGCCCAATTTCATGCAGAATTTCACGTTTGCTCTTTGTTCTAACTTGCTGTCCATGATGAAATACCAGACGTGGTAACGCACGCGGCCAGAATAGCACCAGTTGCACAGCTCCCGATGTACACAGGATGATGTCTTTTGGCACACTGTCTTATGAAGGTTAGTGCTCCCTGCGACTGTGCGTGCAGCCTTGTGCTACCATCTGTTGGCGTGTTACAAAACTAGTCTCGCAACTTTGATACCACCTCATATCGTATTGCGATTACAGGCTCACTTAAAGTGATTCTAAAGGTTGATTTTATTTTTTTAATAACAAACATGTTATACTCCCCTGCTGTGGGGAATGGTTTTGCACAAAGCAGCCCTGATCTCCTGTTCTTGGGTCACCTGCCGCCGCTCCTGGCTACTCCCCCTATTGAGTGCCTCCATAGCAAGCCGCTTGCTATGGGGCACTCGTGCATGCTTGCTCCCGAGACCCGCTCTGTATGTCCATGAGACACACCGAGGACAGCTCAGCCCCACCCCTGCTTCCTCCTCACTGGCTCCCGCTGCTATGTCTGAGCCAATGAAGATGGGGAGAGCCACTGCACTTGTGCACATCGCTGGATCAAGATTGGGCTCTGGTAAGGGGGGGGGCTGCTGGGGGAGGAGCTGCATGCAGAAGATTTTGCAGAGAATACATAGTCTGGCTGAAAAAAGACAAAAGTCCATCCAGTTCAACCATAGAAAAAAAAAAGTTATCCTACACCCACAGATGATCCAGAGGAAGGCAAAAAAACCCAGCAAAGCATGATCCAATTTGCTCCTGAAGGGAAAAAGTTCCTTCCTGATCCCCCGAGAGGCAATCAGATATTCCCTGGATCAGCTTTACCTGTAAATGTTATATCCAGTTACCGTATTTGCCTGCGTATAAGACGACCCCCCTACTTTTCCTGCTAAAATTTAGTGTTTGAGCTATACTCGCCGTATAAGACTACCCCTCTTCCAATGCACACCAGTGGCAGGAATAGTGCCCCATCATTGGTATCAGTGGGAGGAATAGTGCCCCATCATTGGTATCAGTGGGAGAATAGTGCCCCATCATTGGTATCAGTGGGAGGAATAGTGCCCCATCATTGGTATCAGTGGGAGGAATAGTGCCCCATCATTGGTGTCAGTGGGAGGAATGGTGTCCCAACATTGGTGTCAGTGGGAGGAATGGTGTCCCATCATTGGTGTCAGTGGGGGGTGGAATAGTGCCCCATCATTGGTGTCAGTGGGGGGGGGGAATAGTGCCCCATCGTTGATGTCAGTGGGGGGGAGGAATAGTGCCCCATCGTTGGTGTCAGTGGGGGGGAGGAATAGTGCCCCATCGTTGGTGTCAGTGGGAGGAATAGTGCCCCATCATTGGTATTAGTGGGAGGAATAGTGCCCCATCATTGGTATTAGTGGGAGGAATAGTGCCCCATCATTGGTATCAGTGGGGGGAATAGTGCCCCATCATTGGTGTCAGTGGGAGGAATGGTGTCCCAACATTGGTGTCAGTGGGAGGAATGGTGTCCCATCATTGGTGTCAGTGGGGGGTGGAATAGTGCCCCATCATTGGTGTCAGTGGGGGGGGGGGGAATAGTGCCCCATCGTTGATGTCAGTGGGGGGGAGGAATAGTGCCCCATCGTTGGTGTCAGTGGGGGGGAGGAATAGTGCCCCATCGTTGGTGTCAGTGGGAGGAATAGTGCCCCATCATTGGTATCAGTGGGAGGAATAGTGCTCCATCATTGGTATCAGTGACACCAATGATGGGGCACTATTCCTCCCACTGACACTTGCTGACCCTGTTCTCGTATGGTGCTGCTGCAGCCAGCATATGTGGTTGCAGCAGCACCTCTACACTGACCACTTACCTGCTGGTCCTGCACTCGATTTTCGCGGGGGCCGCTCGGCTCCACCCCCTCGCCGGTGATTGGCCGCCTGTGTGCCTTTCCTGAGCTACAGTTCTGGCGGCCAGTCACTGGTGAGGAGGCGGAGCCGAGCAGCCGCACGAACATCCAGTGGCCGAACTGAAGGCGCAGCCGCGCTTCCTGGACTGGATCGTCGTGGGACCGGAACCAGGTAAGAAACAGCCGCTGCCCACCCCTGTACTTAGTGTCCCTTCCTTAGTGTCAGTATGCCGTATACCAGCGTATAAGATGACCCCCGACTTTTGAGAAGATTTTCAAGGGGTAAAAAGTCGTCTTATACGCCAGCAAATACGGTATATTCTGTGTATCCAAGAAAGAATCCAGGACTTTCCTACAGCAATCCACTGAGCTGGCCAGAACCAACTCTTGAGGGAGTCTATTCCACATTTTCACAGCTCTCACTGTGAAGAAACCTTTCCATGTTTGGAGATTACATTTCTTTTCCTCCAGACGTAAAGAGCGCCCCCTTGTCCATGACCATACATAGGTGATGACCATACATAGGTAAAAATACCTTCAGCCTTAAGAACCACTTTAACGTGTTAAATCGAAAGAGCACCAGACTTGTCCATGATGAAGACCTTTCCAAACTTTGTCAATCCCTCACAGGCTCCTCTATTGTGTCAGTTCACCTCCAGATCTAAAACACGTCTCCCCTCTCCCCTGTTGTTGTCTGTCATACATGTCACCCTCCGAGACCGTCTTCACCTCTTCCTGAAAATGTCGCTGTACATTGCTGACATTTATCGGGTTCTATGCCTGGTGGACAGACGTGGACCGGTTGTTGGGAGTTTTGCACCCTACCGCTTAATGTGAGAGGCGGCCCACAGCTGAGCTGAATGGGTAGTGATGGGGCTGGACCCCCGTCTCCTCCACACTATATAGAAATATAATCCATGGTCTTCATAGGGTGCTGCCCTTCAATCCTCCACCATCACCCCACCTGTGGTACCTCCAGGCGTAGTACTCCTCCCCAAACTCTCATGTCATAACATGGTGATTGGTGCAGTGCTGTCACATGGGGGGGTGGGGAGAGAGACTTTGGTACCTCCAGGCGTAGTACTCCTCCCCTAACTCTCATGTCATAACACTGGTGATTGGTCCAGTGCTGTCACATGGGGGGCGGGGAGAGAGACTTTGGTACCTTCAGGCATAGTACTCATCCCCTAACTCATGTGCTAACACTGGTGATTAGGTAATAAAGCAATTTGTAGTGAGCGCTCTCAAAAGTATACAGCAGCTGGAACACTTCAGGTAACCACAGTACCCTTAAAATATACGTATATAAATGTAACAAGAAACAGTGCAGCGCTCAAAAATTAATAAATGAATAAAGACAAATTTTTTATATATGTAAAAAGTCTGTGCAATATCCGCAGTGATATCTGGTAAGGTGAATACTATTCTGAAGTATGAACTGCCTCGAAATAATAGCAATGCGCACTTACCAGAAACGCATGGGTTATGCGCATTTAGGAATAATCATCCCAAATATCAGGTCCATCGAAGGCCGGGTGGTGGGCGTCCTGCTCAGGGTGGGTCATCAATAACACCAAGATAGATCCAGAGGTCCCCTTAAGGCTAGTCAGATAATCCTCACTGACAGTATTGTTCCCTCTTCTGGCTGGTAAAGGCACCCTTTCTGTGGGAATGATAGCTCCAAAAAGGAGCCCCAAAAAAAACAGGTGCCAGAGATAGTGTAGTATGTTCTTAGGTGATTTTATTGATCAAGTATAGCAATAGGGTAATATGCACATCACAACATAACTGTAGAAGTGAAAGACAGCATTACCCCAATAAAATGGCCGCCGGGCCTCCTCGTGGCTCCGGGGGTAGGAAGTGACGTCACGCTCTGCACAGCTCCTCCTTAGGCCTTTCGTGCTACAAGCACATCATCAGAGGGGAGGCTGTACAGAGCGTGACGTCACTTCCTACCGCCGGAGCCACGAGGAGGCCCGGCGGCCATCTTTATTGGGGTAATGCTGTCTTTCACTTCTACAGTTATGTTGTGATGTGCATATTACCCTATTGCTATACTTGATCAATAAAATCACCTAAGAACATACTACACTATCTCTGGCACCTGTTTTTTTGGGGCTCCTTTTTGGAGCTATCATTCCCACAGAAAGGGTGCCTTTACCAGCCAGAAGAGGGAACAATACTGTCAGTGAGGATTATCTGACTAGCCTTAAGGGGACCTCTGGATCTATCTTGGTGTTATTGATGACCCACCCTGAGCAGGACGCCCACCACCCGGCCTTCGATGGACCTGATATTTGGGATGATTATTCCTAAATGCGCATAACCCATGCGTTTCTGGTGAGTGCGCATTGCTATTATTTCGAGGCAGTTCATACTTCAGAAGAGTATTCACCTTACCAGATATCACTGCGGATATTGCACAGACTTTTTACATATATAAAATTTGTCTTTATTCATTTATTAATTTTTGAGCGCTGCACTGTTTCTTGTTACATTTAACACTGGTGATTAGTCCAGTGCTCTCACATGGGGGGCGAGGAGAGAAACTTTGTTACTGTGTATGCTCGAACTGTAGTAACCGATCGCTTACGCAGGGCTTCCTTTCTTCTCCCCCAGGGGCTGAAGAGAGCAGCAGATAGAGAAGGAAATGTTTCATATATGCATTTTGGGAGGGCGGATGAACATGACCTTGTTGCATGTCCTGGCAAGTCAATTGTTCTGTCTTCTGATGACGTTTCTCCTCTCCTGTAGATCAGAGTCTCTCTTGCTAAAGATGAACCGGACACCAACCTGCTCAGTCTGATGAGGAAGGACGGCGTGCAGAGGCTGCGGGAGGTTGTCGCCAAGTACATCTCTACTCTGAAGACGGGTAAGAGCACTTTATTATATGATCCTTGTGGTCTATAGGTGACCCTCGGGGGCAGGCGTAGGTGGACCTCGGGGGCAGGCGTAGGTGGTCCTCGGGGGCAGGCGTAGGTGGTCCTCGGGGGCAGGCGTAGAACACTCCCTTTCCAGAGAGCCGCCTGTGCTGGGTACAGAAACTCTACAACACGGGGGCAGCCCATGTCTTCCTATCTCACCATTCTCATCTTTCCCTGTAACTTTTTGATTGTCAATTTCTGAAGCTGTTTCACTAGGATTATTTGCCCATTTTCAGCAACTACTAAAAAAAATTCAGAAAGATCTTCTGCAGATCCCCCTCACCAAACTTTCTGTAACTCTTTCTGATGATTCCAGTCCCGCCATGCAGTTTGGTGCTCTTGGTGTTGGGTTTGGCTGTGGCGGCTGGTTGGTGGGTTGGGATTCACCGGTCCCCATCACTTGTCTGTTGGTGAATGTCGGCTCTCTAGAGGTTTATAATTCATGTTGTATAATCCCCGGTTCTGATCCGATTTCCTGTCTGCTATTCCAGAGTTCACACAAGGAATGATCCTGCCTGTCACCAATGGCGTCTCGCACGAGGCTGTCGATGATATCAAGCAGAAAGTGCCTCCACCAGAGGTAACTGGATTTTCTATTGTGTGGTGTGTCGGGACCTTTCTGCCACTTGGTGTGTTATTTACAGGAAGTGATGATTTGTTCTCCGCAGACACGGAACGCCAAACCAGCAACCTGTCAGAACACAGGAGTGAAGATTCCCACATGTAAAATCTCCATGAAGGAGACCTTCCTGACCTCCCCGGAGGAGCTGTATAGGGTGCTCACCACCCAGGAGGTAATGTCCACTAGGGGCAGCAATATCCTGGCTCTGGGGAGGGTCCTGAGACGGAACTAGGGGTCCTGAGACTGGAACTGGGGGTCCTGAGACTGGAACTGGGGGTCCTGAGGCTGGTGACTGTGTTTAACAGATTTTTTATATTTCCTCTCCTCTGTTTTTGTAACTTTTTTTTTGGGTGCAGAATAAAAGCTTAAAACAAGATTCATACAAAACAAACACGCAAAATAGGTTTACACTGAAATGTAAAAAGAAAGTGGGGGTTCCATATTTGCCCCCCCCCCCCCCCCCATAGTCTTAATATCCTATATTCAATTCTCAGAGTGGAGGAGGTTACAAATCCTGGGCTCCCCCTTTAGTATCTGGGCTGCTATATTAATCTCTTCACGCCGACCGAACGCAAATGTTCGGTGTCTGGGCCTAGACGCCGAGCGGCTGCATATTTGCATCCTATTAAAAAAAAGGACATATGTACCAAGAGCGCGCGCCCTGCGCGCTCCCAGCACACAAGTCCGGTACTCGCGGAAAGGTTCCGATCTTCTCTTTTGATTGGGACCTTTCCCGGTCATGTGATGTCGCGGCGGTCACATGACCCTAAACCCCGCCTCCTGGCTTCTGAAACGCTTAAAGGGCCGGGAGGCGCCGGCATGAAGGGGGGTTAAATTTGCAGACTGAGCGTATCATATCCACCCCCAACACACACACACACTTCTATCTGCATCTTTTTTTATTTTTCGAAGTACCGCACCACAAAGATGGTTGCCGTGCTGTGGTGCGTTAGGTTGTGATCTAAGACAAATGTCACAAGGGGCCATTAAAGAATGTTCACCGTTTTCTTGCGTGCTCTTTTCTATTTACTAAAGGGAAAAAAATTCCTAGATTGTAAGCTCGAAAGAGCAGGGCCCTCGAACCCCTCGTGTATCACATTGTATTGGTATTGTTCTGTCACATGTTCTGTCCCCCCTTTGTAATGTACAGCGCTGAGCGAACTATTGGCGCTTTATAAATACTGTATAATAATAATAATAATAATTGATTTGGTTCGATGTATTTTAGGGATTTCTGGGCAAAGCTTCTAGCTGGTTTCTAGGTTTGCAGTCTCTTTAACCACTTCCAGTCCGGACACTTTCACCCCCTTCCTGACCAGGGCAATTTTCAGCTTTCAGCGCTATCACACTTTGAACGACAATTGCGCGGTCATGCAACACTGTACCCGTATGAATTTTTTACCATTTTTTGAGACAGATAAAACTTTATTTTGGTGGTATTTATTCACCGCTGGGATTTTAATTTTTTTTTGCTATGTAAATGAAAATGTCCAAAAATTTTGAAAAAAAGTGTTTGTTTTTCTTATAAAATTTTGCAAATAAATAATATTTAATCATAAATCTTGGCCAAAATGTATTCCGTTATCTTTTTAGTAAAAAAAAAAAAAAATAAGCCAAATTAGTTTATAACCAAAAAATTATAATTTTTAAACTTTTTTTTTTTTATATATATATTTTTTTTTTTTTTTTTACATACTGTTACCCTAGCAGTACAGTGTCACCATGGTGACACTGTACTACTTTTGGGGGGTGATGAAGATTTTTTTTTTTACACTGATTGCTTTTACATTGCTTTTAGAACAGAACTGAGTCGGGCTGCGTAGTGCTGAGCCATTCACAGACTGCTTTGTACACTCTGAATACAAAACTGCTTCTAATTGGCGGAGTTGGAGATCATGATGTCATCTTTCTGCCTCAGCCAATCAGAGAAACCTTTATTTAGAGAATACAAAGCTGACTATGAATGGCTAAGCGGTGCTCAGCCTATAGAACGGGAAGTTCTCATCCCACTGCCCAAACACAGGATTGCATATAATTTATACAGCGGACACACCTGTTAGTGTAGAAAATATTTGCAGTTTGAACCAAACAAACTAGTTAACCGCTTCCCCTCTGCCCTATGGCAGCTATACTGATACAGGGCGCCGCTAAATCACGCGTGTATATATACGTGGTTTTGCATCTCCGGGTAGGGGGCGCCCTCGCGAGCCCTACCCACTCCGCCATTCGCGGCCGAGGCTGACAATCACCGGGTCCCGGGTGTTGATTCCCCGCCGGCACTCGGTGATTGCTGAGGATCTCCGACGGGGAGGAGAGCTGCTTTGTTTGCTAACAGTCCTCCCTGTCAGCTCCAGACGCACTGATCTGGATGGCTGTGCACAGCACAGCCATCCAGAGCAGTGTGCTTACACTGACACCGCCCCCTAGTAAAACACTCCCGGCACAGTTAACTCTTTGATCTCCCCACATGTTAACCCCTTCCTGCCCAGTGCCATTAGTACAGTGTCAGTGGGTTGTTTTTTTGTTTTTTTGTTTTTTTTTTTGTTTTTTTTTTAGCACTGATCACTGTATGGGTGTCAGTGACACCAAGTCAGTTCCCCACCAGTGTCAGAATGCCTGCTGCAGTCCCACTATAAGTCGCTGATCGCTGCCATTACTAGTAAAATAAAGTAAATAAAATTCCAGTATCTATACCGCCATTTGCAGACACTATAACTTTCATGTAAACCAATTAATTTACACGTATTGGCTTTTTTTTTTTTTTTTTTTTTTTTTTAGCAAAGACATGGAGCAGAATACATTTTGGCCTAAATCTATGACCAAATTTGATTTTTTTTTTCTCTATTTTACTGGACGTTTTTCTCAATTGTCTGTCCTTTTTTTTTTTTTTTTTTTTGCAAAGAAATTAAGACAGACAATTGAGAAAAACGTCCAGTAAAATAGAGAAAAAAAAAATCAAATTTGGTCATAAATTTAGGCCAAAATGTATTCTGCTCCATGTCTTTGCTAAAAAAAAAAAAAAAAAAAGCCAATACGTGTAAATTAATTGGTTTACATGAAAGTTATAGTGTCTGCAAATGGCGGTATAGATACTGGAATTTTATTTAATTTATTTTACTAGTAATGGCAGCGATCAGCGAATTTGGTACATCAGTAAATCAGGAATCAGTAAATGTTTTTACTGACATGTTTTATAACAAAAAGTCAAAAATATTTTTTTTTCAAAATTGTTGGTCTTATTTGTTTATAGCGCAAAAAAAAAAACCCTCAGAGGTCATCAAACCACCAAAAGAAAGAAAAAAAGGACGTAAATTTCATTTGGGGCGCGGCACTGCGTGAACGCGCAATTGTCAGTTAAAGTAACCCAGCGCCGTAATGCAAAACATGGCCTGGTCGGGTGGGGGGGGGGGTGGAATTTTCAGGAGGGCGAGGGGTTAAAGGGACAATAAACCTGGAGATCAGCTTACATACTTGGCACAGAGATAGTCTTGTTGTGGCCATCAGGGGGCAGTATTGTGATTTACGTTGGGCTGTATTTTTTGCTGATGTCTTGTTATCTCTTTTCAGCTGGTTCAGGGCTTCACGCACGCACCAGCGACCCTCGAAGCCGAAAAGGGTGGAAAATTTCAATTACTGGGAGGAAACGTCAGCGGGGAGTTTGTTGAATTGGTGAGTGCTGGCGGTGTGATGTAGTAAAGTTCAGGCCAAGGTGATGGGGGTTGCTGTACATTGTGGTAGAAGGGTCTGAATGTTGTAGTAAGGGGGGCAGGGAGGGGTGAACTGTATATTGTAATAAGGATTGGGGATCTGTACGGTGTGGCCATGATGACATTACAATGTGTGTATCACTGAGTCTTCATACACAGAGCCTGTCTGCGCTCCTGAAACAAAGGGATGTAGGTGGCTACAGAGGCCATGGGGAGGGCTGTAGTGGATACAAATCCATGGGAGAGGAAGGAAGCTCTGGTGGGTACAGAGGACAAGGTGGGGGAGGAAGCTCTGGTGGGTACAGAGGACAAGGTGGGGGAGGAAGCTCTGGTGGGTACAGAGGACATGGAGGGGGAGGAAGCTCTGGTGGGTACAGAGGACGTGGTGGGGGAGGAAGCCCAGGTGGGTTCGGAGGACGTGGTGGGGGAGGAAGCCCAGGTGGGTTCGGAGGACGTGGTGGGGGAGGAAGCCCATGTGGGTTCGGAGGACGTGGCGGGGGGAGGAAGCCCAGGTGGGTACGGAGGACGTGGCTGGGGAGGACGCTGAGGTGGGTACGGAGGATGCGGCTGGGGGGGAGGACGCCGAGGTGGGTACAGAGGACATGGCGGGGGAGGAAGCCCAGGTGGATACGGAGGACGTGGCGGGGGAGTACGCCGAGGTGGGTACAGAGGACGTGGCGGGGGAGGACGCCGAGGTGGGTACGGAGGACGTGGCGGGTCAGGACGCCCAGGTGGGTACGGAGGACGTGGCGGGTCAGGACGCCCAGGTGGGTACGGAGGACGTGGCGGGTCAGGACGCCCAGGTGGGTACGAAGGACGTGGCGGGTCAGGACGCCCAGGTGGGTACGGAGGACGTGGCGGGTCAGGACGCCCAGGTGGGTACGGAGGACGTGGCGGGTCAGGACGCCCAGGTGGGTACGGAGGACGTGGCGGGGGAGGAAGCCCAGGTGGGTACTGGGGAGGATGCTGAGGTGGGTACGGAGGATGCGGCGTGGGAGGACGCCGAGGTGGGTACAGAGGACATGGCGGGGGAGGAAGCCCAGGTGGATACGGAGGACGTGGCGGGGGAGTACGCCGAGGTGGGTACAGAGGACGTGGCGGGGGAGGAAGCCCAGGTGGGTACGGAGGACGTGGCGGGTCAGGACGCCCAGGTGGGTACGGAGGACGTGGTGGGTCAGGACGCCCAGGTGGGTACAGAGGACGTGGTGGGTCAGGACGCCCAGGTGGGTACGGAGGACGTGGCGGGTCAGGACGCCCAGGTGGGTACGGAGGACGTGGCGGGTCAGGACGCCCAGGTGGGTACGGAGGACGTGGCGGGTCAGGACGCCCAGGTGGGTACGGAGGACATGGCGGGTCAGGAAGCCCAGGTGGGTACCCAGGATGTGGTGAATCAGGAAGCGATGGAGGGGGAGGAAGCCCTGGTGGGTTCAGAGGACATGGCGGGGTCAGGAAGCTCCAGGCGTTCTAGGTTTGCTTCTTATTCTGGGTCCTCCCAGTGTGTGGATGGTTGAAGCCTCTACAACGCTGACCTCTCCCTATGTGTCTTTAGGACTCAGAGAAGAGAATCGTTATGTCTTGGAGGTTCAAGTCCTGGCCGGCAGGTAAGAATTGTATTCTCTAAATGAATTTCTCTCCTGATTTAAGAAAAAAAAGGCCCAGGACCTCTGTTTGTGTGTCCTGCTCACTGCGGGGGCCATTCGTCACAATGACAGAGGAATCTGAACTGTAGACTAGCAGCTCAATACACAGATGAAATACACACAGAAGCTGGTTTACCTGCCAACAAATTTGTACAATTTGCTCAAAAATATGAAAGGGAGAATTTTTAATCCGAGTCTAGCATCAAGTCAGTTCTCTCTCCTGGGATATTGATCTGGTCAGGTAAGTAACAGAGGGGGTTGTTAATCAGTTTTAGATGCTTTGGTGTTAATTAAATGAACAGGTGCACTAGATGGGCAACAACAAGATGACCCCCAAAACAGGAATGGTTTTACAGGTGGAGGCCACTGACATTTTTTTTCCCTACTCCTCTTTTCTGATTGTTTTTTCCAAGTTTTGCATTTGGCTAGGGTCAGTGTCACTACTGATAGTATGAGACCATACCTGGACCCTACAGAGGTTGCTCAGGCAGTCCAACTCCTCCAGGATGGCACATCAATATTTGCCATTGCCAGAAGGTTTGCTGTGTCTCCCAGCACAGTCTCAAGAGCATGGAGGAGATTCCAGGAGTCAGGCAGTTACTCTAGGAGAGCTGGACAGGGCCATAGAAGGTCCTTAACCCATCAGCAGGACCGGTATCTGCTCCTTTGTGTAAGGAGGAACAGGATGAGCACTGCCAGAGCCCTACAAAATGACCTCCAGCAGGCCACTGGTGTGAATGTCTCTGACCAAACAATCAGAAACGGACTTCATGAGGGTGGTCTGAGGGCCCGACGTCCTCTAGCGGGCCCTGTGCTCACAGCCCGGCACCATAGAGCTGGATTGGCATTTGCAGGTCTGCCATGTAGGGGTCGGTTCGCCCCAGAACAGGGTTCAGGAAACCCACATTCTGTGGGTTCAAAATGTATTGTAGTCACGATCCGCAGTGGGTTTCAGTGTAAACGCGATGAACATCTCCAAACGCAGGTCACAAACACAGTGCGGTTTTTTTTTTTTTGCACCAGATTTCATGATACATTAGTACCATGCAATCCGATTGCGCTGCTTCTGCCTCTGTCCAGTGCGACTTCAGCCCATTCAAATGAATGGGCTGATTTTGCACTGTACCCAGATCGCATGCCAATTACACAACATGTTTCAGTGCGATTCATAGTGTGAACCGGCCCTATTGCCAGAACTGCGCTGCTCAGCCATTCACAGAAAGCCTTGTATTTCATCAATTAATACACGAGGCTTCCTCTGAATGGCTGAAGTGGAAATTTGGTACATCATCTGCCCATTTCTCTACCTCAGCCATTCGCAGGAAGCCTTGTATTTCATCAATTAGTACACGGGGCTTCCTGTGAATGGCTGAGGTAGAGAAATGGGCAGATGATGTACCAAACTTCCACTTTAGCCATTCACAGGAAGCCCCGTGTATTAATTGGTGAAATACAAAGCATCCTGTGTATGGCTGAGGTAGAGAAATGGGCAGATGATGTACCAAATTTCCACTTCAGCCATTCAGGAAGCCCCATGTATTGATGAAATACAAGGCTTCTTGTGAATGGCTGTGGTAGAGAAATGGGCAGATGATGTACCAAATTTCCACTTCAGTCATTCAGAGGAAGTCGCGTGTATTAATTGGTGAAATACAAAGCATCCTGTGAATGGCTGAGGTAGAGAAATGGGCAGATGATGTACCAAATTTCCACTTTAGCCATTCAGAGGAAGCCCCGTGTATTGACTGATGAAATACAAGGCTTCCTGTGAATGGCTGAGCAGCGCTAATCCTAACTCTATTTATTTTTCTTTTTTCCTGGCAGCAGCTGGGAAGTCCCCATACCACTGCTGAAATACATGGCTGTATACTGTCGTGATGCTAATATGCTACATGCAGTTCACACGGAGCTGACAGCGGCTGCAGAAAGTAACAAGGAAAATAGTTCATTTGGGCCAGCTTGGCCAACACAAACCATTTCCAGTGATTGCAAACTAGAGCTACCACTTGGGGACCAGCGACATACTGGAACATCACTGGACTTCAAATGGTTTTACTGGGATGATGCTTGCAGCTGCTGGTGGCATCTCCCCGGTACCCTTTTTTTTTTTTTTTTTTTTGGTTTTGTTTTAAGTGCCCGTCCCCAACCTCCACACCCCCTGGCACTTGTGCACAAAGGTGAACGCATGTGTCGCTCCCACACATACACACCCACAAACAGCGATAGTCTCACACATGTGAGGTATTGCCGCGAACATCAGATCATGGGAAGTAATTCAAGCACCAGACCTGTGTAAATCTACAGTGGTAACCTTTGTAAAGGCATTTAAAGCGACACTTATGGATAGTAACATTTCCATCATTTGTTGCTGTTGCATCGGCGTGTGCAGGTTTAAAGCTTAACATGTTTGGTATCTATTTACTCAGCACAATGTTATGTTATATTTTACCAAACAATTTGGTTGTTTTTTTGCATGAAAATTTAATAAAGTGCATTGTCCCCAAAAAATTGTTTGAAAAAAAACACTGCGCAAATGATGTGTGACATAAAAAAAAATGGCAATACCCTCCAGTTCATTCTCTAGGGCCTCTGGTTTTTTTTTAATGAAGAAGATATGTTTTGTGGGTTGTAAGACATTTTCTAGCAGAAAATACGGATTGCTGCATGTAAACAAAAAGTGTCAGAAAATAACCTGGTCTTCAAGGGGTAAATCTCCTCTGACCAGTAGATGGTGCCTCGTGCTACAGAGGGGAGTGCGGAGTCATAGAAGGCTACGTGTTCTGAGTTCAGGAATGCGTTGTGATTGGTCGCTGAACTTTGCTTCGCCTTCTGTGCCTGATGGTGACAAATGGCAGCACAGTGGCTAAATGGTTAGCACTTCCGCCTGGCAGTACTAGGGTCGTTGGTACGAATCCCAACCACGGCACCACCTGCCTGGAGTTTGCATGTTCGCCCTGTGCGGGTTTCCTCCCACACTCCAAAAGACATGCTGGTAGGTTAATTGGCTCCTGTCTAGATTGTCCCTAGTATGTGTATGTATGAATGTGAGTTAGGGACCTTAGATTGTACACCCCTTGAGGGTTAGGGACTGATATGAATGTACAATATATATGTAAAGTGCTGCATAAATTGACGGCGCTATATAAGTACCTGAAATAAATTTCACCTCTGGGGGTCCAGAATAAGAAATCGATCTCTTCCTGTCCTGTGTGTTCTGACCCATCATGGTGTCTTGTTGTAGTGCAGCCTTGTGTCTTTTTATAAGGAATATTGCAATAGCTGTTATTCCCATCCATGAGTCGTCACTTTGTTTTTTTTTTTTTTTTACCACCCCCCCCCCCCCCCCCCCCCCCACCCCACACACACAGGACATCACGCCACCATCTCCCTATCACTGTCCGACAAAGGTGGAGAGACGGAGTTGCAGATGGAGGCACGGGGTGTCCCGCAGAGCGAGGAGCAGCACACGAAGGACGGATGGAAACGGTATTACTTCGATGGCATCAAACAGACCTTCGGCTATGGGGCGATGCTGTTATAACTGGGTTGGGTCCCGGTTGGGGGGGCATTTTTTTTACCAGTGTTTAAAAAGAAAATATTGTCTTGTGGACTGAAACCCGTATTTAATGTTTGGGGGAGGGGCAGCTCCGGATTCAGGTTTGTTTGCACTGAGCCCCGGTTGGTGGGGTGTAAGCCGTGTATATTGTCAGTCTGGCAGCGCTGTGTATATTATTACACCAATAAAAATAAATTATCACTCGGAGTTGTCTGTTATTACACAACCTGTACCATCCAGTCACAGCTGGCCTATCAGATGACATCATCACTGTGTGGGAGTCGTGGCCCCGCCCCTGCAGGGTATGACAACTTACATGTGGAATCTGGTCTGCATACTGGTGGGAATGTAACAGGCCGCTAACTAGAAATCTGGAGGCAGAGAAGAGACGGAGAATGAAGGCGGCTGAGTAATCTGGAAAGTGGATGCAAAAGGTTGAGGGGGCTGCTGCAAACCCATGTCACGTGTCCCAGAAGACTCCCGGGGAGGACAACTTCCACTTCCAATCACCTAGGCGATTGCAGTGGAAGTGGGAGCGGGTACCTGTCAAATCCCCCCGCTGCTCCCCGAAGGTGCCAATCCTTAATCTGGAACGGGGAACAAAGGCTTAAAGTGGAACTTCCCCCTTTTGGGTGGAGCTCTGCTTTAAGCTGCAGGAACAGAGCTGCTGCTAGAGCAGGGCTTGAAATTTCCACTCGCCTGCTCGCCAAAGGCGAGTGGAAATGATGGTGGGGGCGAGTGTGTCCCCCAGGGCCCGTTTTACTGAGCAGGCTCGGAGCTCAGGCCGGATCTGTCATTGGCACTGGGAGCCGTCAGACTGCGCAATAGCTGAGCACAGTGAAAGCAAAGCAATGAGTGTGTGGTGTGCGCTCTGCCTCCCCCTAGATTGCAGTACCTGGATCTGTGAGTGAAGAACGAAGTACTGCAACTTTTTAAGGGGGGGGGGGGGTGTTTGTACGTGTAAATGTGTGTCTTTATGTAGAATTGTACATGTGTCTGTGTACATGTGTGTAACTGTACATGTGTTTGTGTGTAAGTATGTACGTACATGTGTCTGTGTGTGTATTTCTGTGTATGTATGTGTGTCTGTATGTGTGCCTGTGTGTATGCGTGTCTGTACGTGTACATGTGTCTCTATGCGTGTATGTACATGTCTGTGTGTGTACAGGTGTCTCTGTGTGTGTTTGTTGGGGGCGAGTAACTCTAAGGCCTGGCTGGTAGCTCAGGACTTGAAATTTTAGAGTGTGTTCTATAACACAGGGTTTGGCTGTGTCTGGCCATAGGGTGGCGCTATTAAGCTGGAGGAACGCAAGGAGCTTCTGCAGGGTGCGCCAGCTAAGTGTGGCCACAGTGTGGCGCTATTACACTGCAAGAACACAAAAGAAGTCCCTGGATTGCATTCTATAGAGACTGACAGGTGAGTGTGGCCACAGGATGGCGCTATCATGCTGCATGAGACCAGGCCAGACTGTAATGAACCTGAAATAAGAACTGTCTGCTGCTTGCAGGAACCTCCTACAGGAAACAATGAACCTCGACAGTCCTGGGCAATCCAGACAGTTTCTATTTCAGGCACATTAATGATGACGCTCTAAAGAGGAAAATACACCATTCTGATTATATAAAATTTGTATAGAAATGGATTTGAATATATTACAACTCCCCTCCCCCTGCCCCGCTCCCCCCCCTTCCCCCGCAGTCCTCGCAAAGTGCCGCGCAAGACAGGTCCTCTCCCGGCCTAGAACTCGCGGGCCTCCTGCAGCTGGGCCAGGTATTCGTCCTCAGGGGGTTCTCTGGACAGCCGCGGCCGTTGTTTGGGGGGGCGCAGGGAGTGGATTCGGCTCCAGTCCCCCTTACACAGGATCCAGGGCAGCACATCGGCCTTGTAGTGGAGTTCGGGGGAGAAATCGGCGCTGATGAGGTTGGGGATGGCGGCGGCGCGTCCACGCGTTACCAGTCTCAGGGATTGGTCGTAGCAGCAGTGCTGAGCCCCCAGGCTGCTGCTGTCCCGGGTGAGTAAAGAGCGCAGACAGAACCGTGCGCCCGGATTGTAGATGTCCAGCCTCTCCCGACCGCCGCTGGCGTCCCTCCACCGGAAACTGCGCGCCAACTTCTCATCCCGCAGCACCAGCGAGCTGTACACGGCCTCCGAGGGGTAGGAGCAGGGGCAGCTGGGGAGTTCTGTCAGCACCCGGTGCAAATAGTTACTGAGGAATTCGCTCTTACAGCTGAGCCAACGATCGCAGCCGTCCAGGTGAGCTGAGGGGGGGGAGAGGTGAGCGGTATGAGATGGGGGGGGGAGAGGAGAGCGGTATGAGATGGGGGGGATAGAGAGGTATGAGATGGGGATAGAGAGATATGCAACTTCGGGGGAGCATGAGGATGGGGAACAGGTAATATGAGAGGGGAAGGAGGTAGGAGAGAAACAATGGGGGGGGGGACGACATTGGGGTATGAGATATGAGGGACGGTGGATGTGGCAGTCATCCGGGTAGACAGGCATGAGAGGTGGGAGAGGAACATGAGATAAAGCAGTAACATCGGGAGAGGAGTGTGAGATATGACGGTGACATGGGGGGAGAGGAGTATTGAGAAATGAGGGTGACGGGGGAAAGGAGTATTGAGATATGAGGGTGACAAGCGGGGGGGGGGGGGGGGAATAATAGATAGGAAGGTGACATGGGGGGAGAGGAGTATTGAGATATGAGGGAGACATGGGGGGAGAGGAGTATTAGGAGGGTGACATGGGGGGAGAGGGGTATGAGATAAGAGGGTGACAGGAGGGGAGAGGAGTATTGAGATATGAGGGTGACATGGGGGAAGACGGGTATTGAGATATGAGGGGGAGATGAGTATGAGATATGGGGGGGGTGACATGGGGGGATACGAGAATGAGGGTGACATGGGGGGAGAGGAGTATGAGATATGAGGGTGACATGGGGGAAGACAGGTATGAGATTGGGGGTGACATGGGGGGAGAGGGAGTATGAGATATGGGGGGGAGATGAGTATGAGATATGAGGGTGAAATGGGGGGAGAGGAGAGTATGAGGTATGAGGGTGACATGGGGGGGGGGGGGTGAGTATGAGGATGACATGGGGGGGAGAGAGTATGAGATATGAGGGTGACATGGGGGGGGGAGAGAAGAGTATGAGATATGAGGGTGACATGGGGGGGGGGAAGAGAGTATGAGATATGAGGGTGACATGGGGGGGAGAAGAGTATGAGATATGAGGGTGACCTGGGGGGGGAGGAAGAGTATGAGATATGAGGGTGACCTGGGGGGGAATGGTATGAGATATGAGGGTGACATGGGGGGGGGGGGAGATGAGTATGAGATATGAGGGTGACATGGGGGAAGACAGGTATGAGATATGAGGGTGACCTGGGGGGGGGAGGAGTATGAGATATGAGGGTGACATGGGGGGGAGAAGAGTATGAGATATGAGGGTGACATGGGGGGGAGAAGAGATGAGATATGAGGGTGACCTGGGGGGAGAGGAGTATGAGATATGAGGGTGACATGGGGGGGGGGAGAGGAGTATGAGATATGAGGGTGACGGGGGGGGGGGGGAGAGGAGTATGAGATATGAGGGTGACATGAGGAGGGGGGGGAGAGGAGTATGAGATATGAGGGTGACGGGGGGGGGGAGAAGAGTATGAGATATGAGGGTGACATGGGGGGGAGAAGAGTATGAGATATGAGGGGGTGACCTGGGGGGGAGAGGAGTATGAGATATGAGGGTGACATGGGGAGGGGGGAGAGGAGTATGAGATATGAGGGTGACGGATGGGGGGGGGGAGGAGAGGAGTATGAGATATGAGGGTGACATGGGGGGGGAGAGGGAGTATGAGATATGAGGGTGACATGAGGGGGGGGGAGAGGAGTATGAGATATGAGGGTGACATGGGGGGGAGAGGAGTATGAAATATGAGGGTGACCTGGGGGGGAGAGGAGTATGAGATATGAGGGTGACCTGGGGGGGAGAGGAGTATGAGATATGAGGGTGACATGGGGGGGAGAAGAGTATGAGATATGAGGGTGACCCTGGGGGGAGAACAGTATGAGATATGAGGGTGACATGGGGGGGGGGGGGGGAGATGAGTATGAGATATGAGGGTGACATGGGGGAAGACAGGTATGAGATATGAGGGTGACCTGGGGGGAGAGGAGTATGAGATATGAGGGTGACATGGGGGGGAGAAGAGTATGAGATATGAGGGTGACCTGGGGGGGAGAGGAGTATGAGATATGAGGGTGACCTGGGGGGGAGAGGAGTATGAGATATGAGGGTGACATGGGGGGGGGGGAGAGGAGTATGAGATATGAGGGTGACGGGGGGGGGGAGAGGAGTATGAGATATGAGGGTGACGGGGGGGGGGGGAGGAGTATGAGATATGAGGGTGACATGGGGGGGGGGGAGGAGAGGAGTATGAGATATGAGGGTGACATGAGGAGGGGGGAGAGGAGTATGAGATATGAGGGTGACATGGGGGGGGAGAAGAGTATGAGATATGAGGGTGACATGGGGGGGAGAAGAGTATGAGATATGAGGGTGACATGGGGGGGAGAAGAGTATGAGATATGAGGGTGACCTGGGGGGGAGAGGAGTATGAGATATGAGGGTGACATGGGGAGGGGGGAGAGGAGTATGAGATATGAGGGTGACGGGGGGGGGGGGAGAGGAGTATGAGATATGAGGGTGACATGGGGGGGGGAGAGGGGTATGAGATATGAGGGTGACATGAGGAGGGGGGAGAGGAGTATGAGATATGAGGGTGACATGGGGGGGAGAGGAGTATGAAATATTAGGGTGACCTGGGGGGGAGAGGAGTATGAGATATGAGGGTGACCTGGGGGGGAGAGGAGTATGAGATATGAGGGTGACATGGGGAGGGGGGAGAGGAGTATGAGATATGAGGGTGACGGGGGGGGGGGGGAGAGGAGTATGAGATATGAGGGTGACATGGGGGGGGGGAGAGGAGTATAAGATATGAGGGTGACATGAGGAGGGGGGAGAGGAGTATGAGATATGAGGGTGACATGGGGGGGGAAGAGGATGAGCACGGAGGATGAGGATATAGAACAGGAAGGCAGCAGAGAACTCACCATTGTCTGGAGCTGGAGTCGCCCCCCGCTGGCCAATGTCGCCCACCACTGGGTGGAGTTCTCAGTGTCGTCCTCCCCTGTGGAGTGACAAAGTGACAGTCATATAAAGGGGCACCCCGAGCACTGACCATAATGTGACATCACTGAGCACCAAGACAAACATTCCACATCATCTTTGTGACATCACAAGTAATAGGCGGAGCACAGAATGGGGGTGGGGTCAGTGCTCACCTGGGCACGGCAGGAGGTCACACACACGGGATTCGGTGGCGGTGCAGGAATATCCGCAGGCGCGTGTGCGTTTCTGGCTGGGGCGGCCGGCCGCAGGTAGCGCTACATGGAGACCAGGAACTCCACTCCTCCTCCTCGTAATCTGCCCGGGAATAAAACCATAGGTTACATATCGCCCCAAAAGGGGAGGAGCAAACCTCATGACTTTCAGAACCCTCTGAACAGCAAGACTCCATGTCTACCCAGCAGTGGGAGGAGTCAGGCTCAATGTCTCATACCTCTCTCCAAGATCACCCAGTAGTGGGAGGAGTCAAGCTCAATGTCTCATACCTCCCTCCAAAATCACCCAGTAGTGGGAGGAGTCAGGCTCCATGTCTCATAACTCCCTCCAAGATCACCCAGCAGTGGGAGGAGTCAGGCTCAATGTCTCATACCTCCCTCCAAGATCACCCAGTAGTGGGAGGAGTAAGGCTCCATGTCTCATAACTCCCTCCAAGATCACCCAGTAGTGGGAGGAGTCATGCTCCATGTCTCATACCTCCCTCCAAGATTACCCAGTAGTGGAAAGAGTCAGACTGCACTCATACTTCCCCATCTATGCCACCCTGTAGTGGGAGGAGTCACTGTACTCCCATACTTCAGGGTGGTTGGGGTATTCTGGATTTTCCTAGACTCACCGTAATGATATTTGTCCTCGGAGATCCAGTTCTCTCCATTTGGATCTCGCCCACTCAGGATGTTATCGTCCCATTCATAGTCGCCCCCAATCTCTGGGCCTGAGGGGCCCGGGGTGGAAGTCTCCCCACCGGGGAAGTCGTTGTACTCCCAGAAGAGGGGCCAAAAAAGCTCATGCTGAGACACCCAATCCGGGTCCGCCCAGTCCGTCCGCGTATCCGACAAATCCAACTCCACCTCCGCCTGGGACGCCGGATCCACCTCAATTGTCACCTGCAGAACGATAACCAGAAATGTCACCCCAACAGTGACCCCGAAATATACTCACCCCTCTCCAGATATAAGATATATTATCCAGGAGTGACATCACCGCTCTCCAGATATAAGATATATTATAGAGGAGTGACATCACCGCCCTCCAGATATAAGATATATTGTACAGGAGTGACATCACCGCTCTCCAGATAAAAGATATATTATAGAGGAGTGACATCACCGCTCTCCATATATGTTATATTACACAGGAGTGACATCACCGCTCTCCAGATATAAGATATATTATACGGGAGTGACATCACCGCTCTCCAGATATAAGGTATATCATACAGGAGTGACATCACCGCCCTCCAGATATAAGATATATTATACAGGAGTGACATCACCGCCCTCCAGATATAAGATATATTATACAGGAGTGACATCACCGCCCTCCAGATATAAGGCATATTATACAGGAGTGACATCACCGCTCTCCAGTTATAAGGTATATTATACAGGAGTGACATCACCGCCCTCCAGATATAAGATATATTATACAGGAGTGACATCACCGCCCTCCAGATATAAGATATATTATACAGGAGTGACATCACCACCCTCCAGATATAAGATATATTATACGGGAGTGACATCACCGCCCTCCAGATATAAGATATATTATACGGGAGTGACATCACCGCCCTCCAGATATAAGATATATTATACGGGAGTGACATCACCGCCCTCCAGATATAAGGTATATTATACGGGAGTGACATCACCGCCCTCCAGATATAAGATATATCATACGGGAGTGACATCACCGCCCTCCGGATATAAGATA